TTAGAAGAAGTTACAGCAGCAGATGTTAGTGTAAATGCGTTTGGTATTACCTTAGAGTCGCGGCATCTCTTCAGAAAGGTGAGAGACTCGATTAGCTGAGCCTTCTTATCCCGGAGCTTGTTGAAGGATCTCAAAGTTATGTGGAAACCCTCCCCGTAGAGGCGGTTAAATTTCGATTTAAAGCGTTCGTGACTGCAGGGATTCATCTTCTTGTTTCTTTCGGTAAAGTCACGTAGAAAGGAAGTAATAAAATAATAAAAATAAAACATAATAAAACAATTCTCACGACGTTTCGGCTACAACGCATGCAGCCGTCTTCAGGTGAAGAATGAGACACTACCAAACTAGGAGCTTATATATAAGCTGCATTGGGGGTTGAAGAGCGCCTTAACAAAAAGAATGTGCATGTGAAGAGGGATTTAGCATATTCATGGAAAATGCGTAGGCGTTGGGCGGGGGGGTGTCAAAGTCATATTATGCCCATGCATTATGCAGGATCAGCAGCAACCAAGGGGGGTGCAGGGATTAGCAGTAACAAAGGAAAGGAATGTTAATGATATGTAGCTGCAGTTACTCAACAACCACGTAGAAAACTAAAGTATAAACTACATAAAAAACTAAAGTATAAACTGCATCGCACCATCAGTATACTTACTATACTCTATAATAAGCTGAGTTACTAACAGCAAGTAATACATTACAATTTTACCTCGTAAAAATTCCATAATATGCTTCCATCTAAACCTTATTCTCTTACATCACACGAGCATATACCGTACTATATACTGCCATAGATAAACCCAACATTAAATTATATACTGTATTGCTGTAAACCAACCTATATCTTATACATTTAATATCACACTATGTATTATTCTACACACCCTAATGTGTATCGAAATGGTTTATTACGTCCTTCCAATGATTGCTGAGCCAGAATCCATCTTCTCGGTTAAAGTTGTCTCTGTGTTTGTATATGTGGATCGCCTCATGAACGAATCTCTCATGATAGCCAGATGGCTTGCAGAGAACCTCTGTCTTGGAGAAGTCAATATCATGTGAGCCCACTGAGTTGTAACAGTCGACATAGCTGCCGCTATGTCGACTAAATGTAAGGACAACTTGATTTCCAAATTCAATCGCCTCTCAAACAAGAAACCGGACCCACACATTGAAAAGCTAGATATTAACAAAGTCGTAATTAATCGCAGTAACAGTCCTATTTCTGAAGGTTTGAAATCCGTTTTAGCTAAAGGACTAAACTTTGCAGTCACACCTAGACACATACCAGTTAATGATATAATTGCTCGAGTAGATGTAGCTCTCAAGGGCTTGAGTCACATCGCTGCAGACGTAGCAAGATCCGAAATCTCTGTAACCCTCAAAAACGCTAAGATGCCAGCTAGCAACATCAGCAAAGAGGAGCGTTTTGAATTAGCTCAATTAAAAAAGAGGGATGACATTGTCATCCTCTCAGCCGACAAAGGCAATGCCACTGTCATCATGGACAAAATAGAATACAACAACAAAATTCAAGAACTACTAAACGATGGCAGCTATACAAAAATAAAAAGAGACCCCACCAACAGCCTCGTCTCCAAAACCAACAACATCATTTCTGCTTCAACCGCATTAATTGATCAGACCAAACAGTTCTCGTTGAAACCTTCTGCAGCCAGACCACCAAGATTGTACGGCTTGCCAAAGATACATAAAGAAGATACACCTCTTCGTCCCATTGTCTCTACTATCAACTCCCCCACTTACAAACTGGCTCGTTTTTTGTCCGAAATCCTACGGCCTTTCACTGGAAAAACCACCTCTGCAGTACTAAACTCTACTGACCTGGTATCGACAATCAAGGGGATTGCCCTGTCCCCAGACGACCTGCTTGTCAGTTTTGATGTGGTTTCCTTGTTCACCAAGGTACCTGTGCCTGACACCATCGCAATCATTGAAGACTTGGTTCATCAAGGACTGAATGCTGGGGTACCCCCCCTGGTGAGACACTGCTTAACCAATACATACTTCACCTGGAATGGAACCTTCTACAAGCAAATTGAGGGCACCCCAATGGGCTCCCCCCTATCTCCGGTTGTAGCCAACATCTTCATGGAGAAATTTGAGACGGACGCCATCCAGACTGCCACTCTACGCCCGACCTTATGGAAGAGGTACGTAGACGACACTTTTGTCATCTGGCCACATGGCCGGCCTGCTCTAGACCAATTTCTCGACCACATCAATTCCATACACCCAGCCATCAGATTCACCATGGAAGTCGAAAATGATGGCAAGCTACCCTTTTTGGATGTCCTAATCAAAAGGAGACCTGATGGTTCAATGAGCCACTCTGTCTACAGGAAAGCCACCCACACGGATGCTTATCTAAAACCGGATTCCCACCACCATCCATCTCAGAAGAATTCCCTCATCAAGACTCTATATCATAGAGCCCAATGCATCTCCGACCATGAACACATTTCCAGTGAACTCAAACACGTACGCCAAGCTCTTAAGGCAAATGGTTACTCCGACTATACAATCCGCAAAGCCATCACTCCAACCATCAAGAAGGATCCTGTTGAGGAGCCTTTCAAGACCATCACCTTACCCTACATTGCTGGGGTCACAAAAAAGATCTCCAAAATCCTGATTAAACACAAGATCCAGGTCCGATTCAACACAGTACATAAAATCCGTGATCTGGTACCGTCTGTAAAAGATGTGGTTCCAGACATACAGTACCCTGGCGTCTACAAACTAAGTTGCCTCTGTGGTAGCAGTTACATTGGGGAAACCAAACGACATGTCTCGGACCGCATCCGTGAACATAAAGCTGACCTGAAACACGGTAGGACTAACACCTCAGCCGTGGCAGATCACTGTTACAACTCAGTGGGCTCACATGATATTGACTTCTCCAAGACAGAGGTTCTCTGCAAGCCATCTGGCTATCATGAGAGATTCGTTCATGAGGCGATCCACATATACAAACACAGAGACAACTTTAACCGAGAAGATGGATTCTGGCTCAGCAATCATTGGAAGGACGTAATAAACCATTTCGATACACATTAGGGTGTGTAGAATAATACATAGTGTGATATTAAATGTATAAGATATAGGTTGGTTTACAGCAATACAGTATATAATTTAATGTTGGGTTTATCTATGGCAGTATATAGTACGGTATATGCTCGTGTGATGTAAGAGAATAAGGTTTAGATGGAAGCATATTATGGAATTTTTACGAGGTAAATTGTAATGTATTACTTGCTGTTAGTAACTCAGCTTATTATAGAGTATAGTAAGTATACTGATGGTGCGATGCAGTTTATACTTTAGTTTTTTATGTAGTTTATACTTTAGTTTTCTACGTGGTTGTTGAGTAACTGCAGCTACATATCATTAACATTCCTTTCCTTTGTTACTGCTAATCCCTGCACCCCCCTTGGTTGCTGCTGATCCTGCATAATGCATGGGCATAATATGACTTTGACACCCCCCCGCCCAACGCCTACGCATTTTCCATGAATATGCTAAATCCCTCTTCACATGCACATTCTTTTTGTTAAGGCGCTCTTCAACCCCCAATGCAGCTTATATATAAGCTCCTAGTTTGGTAGTGTCTCATTCTTCACCTGAAGACGGCTGCTTGCGTTGTAGCCGAAACGTCGTGAGAATTGTTTTATTATGTTTTATTTTTATTATTTTATTACTTCCTTTCTACGTGACTTTACCGAAAGAAACAAGAAGATGAATCCCTGCAGTCACGAAAGCTTTAAATCGAAAAATTGGGTCATCAGATTCACAGCGCAATGGACTAAAACTCCTACACTAAAGCACTTGCCTTCTCTGAATATGCACAATGCTGGCAGGTGTGTCTGTGTCTTTGTGCGCCGAGTGCGACGCGGTGGTGCAGTCGTTAGCCTGTTGCGCTCTGAACCCGATAGCCTGAGTTAATTTCCCGGCCACTGCTAACGTCAATGTCAAGTGATAGCTGAACCGGTCCTGGACCTCCCCTACATTGACTCAACCTTAAATGAGTATCTGGCGTGGTGTGTTCAACATCAGCACTGGGGAGACGAAGGACTTAAGAGGCCCTCGCTAGCAGCACTTGCGTGCCCAGTAAGGCTGTGCGGGGTCTCGGTATGTAGGGTGGGGGTGCTAATTTCCAAGCACTTGTCCCAAAAGTTTGCTAAGGTTATACGGGGGATATTTGTCTTTTGTGGGGGTTTTCTGACTAATGGTTGTGCTGTCGTCCCATCTGGTTTTAAAAAATTACAGCAGGATTTCGCTAATCCGGATTAATCAAAGACCAAACTGCAGAAGGGGGAAAAAAATCGCGATCCATGCAATAAATTCCCACGATGATTTACCATCGTCCGCTCCCCTGCATACATGCGGGAGCAGCAGCATTGTGAATGCAATCGGTGGCCGTGATAAGGCTGCAGCAGTGTCTTCCGTTTACACTGATCAATAGCGCGCACACAGCGTTTGTCTTAAAGCAATGCTTAATAATTTAAGCCGTTATGTAATATTCAAACGCCATCTGGATAAAGTGGGAAATCCGGATTAGCCGAGTTGAGAGAATCAGAATGGTTCCTGGGTTTATGAATCTCGATAAAGCGAAGCTGCAATCGATGTTAACTAACTTTTGTTTTGTATCATACCCATGGCGATTGTGTGAGGGTGATGGTGTTGATGTTGGATGCATGGTGATGGTGTGATGGTGTTTAGCACAGAAGAGATGCTGCTTTGTGGAAATCCCAGACGGACGTGTTTATCACAGCTGCCGGGGCCCTTGTGTGTGTGTGTGTGTACAGAAACCCATGTGGGGAGCGATAGTGTCGTGGGGAGACAAAGGCGGCCGGGCGTGGTGCTGGTCACCCAACCCCTCGTGTGCCGTGCCGGCCTTCGTAGGTGCTCGCTTAATAGCACTTGCCCCAACAGTTTGTAAAGGCTATAAGGCGGATCCTTTGTCTTTGTGTTTGCAGGAGCCCATGGCCGGTGAGAGGAGGATGGACGAGCTTGTAGGGGAACTGGAGGTGGAACGGCGCAACCTCAAAAGGTACTGGTCGTGGCGCCCGGCAGTAGGCAACCCAAGCAACAGCGTAGGGCCCCAAATAGCTCAAGGTGGGGGGAGGGGGGGGTGGGGGGGCTCGCACTCATGAATAAAATATACGGGGTCACCAAATACCAACCCAAACTCAGATCCTTCCTCTAACTTGTGGATCACTTTAATTATTTCACCGAAGTTGCGTGGCTCGCTCGGCACATCGCGTTTGTTGTCGTGGGACGTACCCACAAATCATTTTCTGCTTCGTGCCTCCGGAGGGCTGTCGGCCAGCACTGAGAGGACCGCCGGATGGCACGGGCTAAACGTCGCGCACAAAACACTCAGCCAAACCAAAACAAAACACGACCTCTTTTTGTAATTGTGCACACTCTTTGTACGTTCTCTATTGCGGCAGCAGAACCCCCTCCTTTGGGTTTGCAGACTTTGAGTATCCAGTTACTCATGAGCACGTAGAAGACCCTTTAAGCAATTTACTAAAAGTCCAACCTTTGGCAGATTGCAAGCAGCCGCAAGCCGATAGCGCTGGGAGCCGCTTATAAAACATTTACAGGCCTTGGCATGGGGGTATAGGGACGTTTATGAGTTTTCTCAGTGAGCCCTCGAGAGCGATAGAAGAGAGGGGAGAGGGAGGGTGGGAGGGGAGCGCGCTGCATGGCATGTACCCACTGGCTCCGTCTGCCCTGCTAAAACAAGCACCGTACGTGACCTACGCAGGGAGAGGGTCATCTGGTCCCTAAACCAGCTGACGCTTGTGAAAACAAAGGGACCACCATGCCCGGGCCTTGACCAACACTGGCTTTTACAGACTCGGTGTCTCCGTCGTTGGGGAGCTCGGTGTTAGAGTGGGGAGATGTTTAAAGTAGGGGGGGGAGGGGGGCGGTGGGCACGGACAGAGCCGTGCCTCCTTCGCCTGTAGCACGCATCTGTGCCGGTTTGCTTATCTGGCCAGTTCATGCGGTAATATTGCCAGCCTTTCTGGTTGATGTCTTCATCGCAGAGTGCTCTGCCTCCGTGCCCTGCGAATCCTCTGTGCCTCGCAGCACGTGGCTGGCTTCTGGGCTCCTGCATTAGCGTCGGGACGCGGGGTTGTTGCGGCGCGACGGTGCCCGCCGGCCCCCGCCGCGTTTCCCGAGAGCCGGTGGCTTCGGTGTGCGTGAGAGCGCTCCGCCCGCGTCAATGGACGTTTGTGTGATTGTTGAGTGGAGCCAAGGGGCAGTCGGAAGGTTTGAAAATGAGATACGAGAGCAAGCCACAAAGATCCCCCCCTGTATAGCTGTAATGGACTGTTAAGGCAAGCGCTGTTGGCGAGGACCTATGGAGGCTGCCTTGGTTTCCCTGTTAGTGATGTTTACACATCGCACAAGATGCTTATTTATGACTGAATCGACCTCGAAGAGGCTCAGTGTTAGGTCATACAATCGAACTTGGGTCGCCGGGTTCGTAGTGCAGCACGCTAGCCGCTACACTACCGCTTCCCAGCGATGTACACACTCGTACAATTGAAGCCCATTTTGTACTAATAATACAATTATCATCAGGGACTTTCCAGTAAACATGCAATGTTGGGCCAACGCTGGCCCAATGTTGGTCCAACGGTTCAAACCTCGTGCCAACGTTGGCTCAACATTGCATGTTTACTGGGCTCATATATGTCTTGAGAATTTTACAGGCACGTGCGTGATCACATGCACTTCTCTTCGGCTCACTTCGACATTCTCAAAGTGTGTGACATCCTGCCAACACGCCGCGTGCAAGCCTGTACACAAGTCTCCATTTGTGCGCTTGGCAATTAATGCAAGTGTGCGCATATGTGTGCGGGCGAGCGCGGTCACGTGACCTCCCATCTATCTGTAGCCATGATCGAATTTCAGCGTTTGCCAATCGGTCCTGGCGAATCGCTCACGGGTTTTCGTGGGATTTTATTTATTTAGTTATTATTTTCTTTGTTATTTGTTTTTGTGCACCGGGGCTCGTGAGGGCACCGCGCGTTTCTGTGGCACAGCTGTCTGCCAGCACCACCGCGTCTCCACTCTATTAGTCTGATGACTTGTGACTGGGCGATGAGTGTCGGCGTCTGCACGCGAGCACGCGAGCGAGCGAACGAGCGCTGGCTCTAACGGAATGCTAATGTGTGCAGCAACGCGTGAGGATGCGCTCCGTTTTAATGGGCTATCGCCGTGCCCCTTCAGTTCACTTCTTAGAAAGGCAATGTGGTGAACACAAGCGGTAAATATGAAGACAAAACATTAAATATTGATGAGTTTAAGAGGCGACATTGTGTGTCTGAGCTCCGATAAAATCAACAATTACACTTGTGTCAGCCATGAACAGAAATTATAATTCTATGCCGCACTGCATATCTAAACATTTATTTAATTTTAAAGATGATGCATCTTTATTTCCTTCATTTTTTCCCCACGGGTTAAAGTTTGATAGACTCATTTGTGAAATCGCTTATTATGCGGCATCATTAATGACAAATGCCAGCAGCTCCCATTCATCACAAGGTGCTCCTCCCAGGCCATCCATCTCAACGAGTAACCTTTGTGGTGTGTGTAGCAAGATTTGTGGCTTTCCATAACCGCTCTGTGAACCTCAGGTAGACGTGTCACCATCGTTGACATTTGAAACGTAGATGAAAGCAATTTTGAACGAGGATTGAATGAGATTGTGCGTGTATATACTGCTCGAACGTAAACAACTTACACCTACATCATTACCCTTTGCGTTAAGTGTATGCATATGCGTGCGTGTGTGTGTGTGGAGCGGTAGTGTAGCGGTTAGTGCACTGCGCTCCAAACCCAGCGACCCGAATTCAATTCCCGCTCGCGGTCAACATCAGTAAAGATTATCTGTACTGGTCCTGGGCCTCCCCTAGGTCGACTCAACCTCAAATGAGTGCCTAGTGCGGTGTGTGAAACATCGGCCAAAAGCACCTGCCCTAACAGTCTGTTATGGATCTTTGTCGCTGTGTGTGTACCAATTGAGTTCGTGCAGAAGCAAAGCATTCCGTGAGCTTTCGTTTTTACAGCACAATAAGAATTATTATTCCAATCGTGCCTGGCTATGCAATCTCCAGGAGTCCATTCTAATTTGTTCTGCGGGGCATTATTGCTGTTTACATTGCCCGAAGATTGTTGATGGAGTGGTGGTTCCTGCATAAATCAAATGGGAAATTTGCACATTTGAAGTCGACGGCCACCACCTGAGCCGTGGCACTGGCTCTGGTGGTGACGTGACACTTTAATACACTTCGTATCCAAAACCCACACACTTTGACAGGCACGTTAGCGATACATAAATAGGTCCATTTTTTCTCCTCTAGCATGATGCTGCTATCCGAGGTCTCCAAACATCTATTTGTGCTGAATGTATATTAGGCATCGTCCGCTTTTTCCCCGTTGACTTTAACTTCAGGTGATTACTTTTATCTAAAGTGCTTCAAATATTTGTTTTATTTAAATGTTTTGGTCATGCTGCAAAGTAAAGATTTCAGCACACCTTAAGTTTGATGTGCAGTCTCTTATGCACCGTTTAATAATTTAGATCTTTTGGTTCGAATGGATTTCTTTCAAGTGGTATTCTAAGGTGCTATAGTTAATGATTAAAATGTATATTTAACCATGAAAGCTGATGTTGCTTTTGAAGAGTTTTTCAGGAAGGGCTATGTTCTTTCAGCTCCGTGTTGAGTACCTATTCGTGATGTGACTATTCACTATTCCATTATTTTTCACAATTCAGGATGGGGATTTCCAGAAACTATTATTAATTAACATTTTTATCATTTCCTTTGTGGTGTTTATCTATATTTCGATATTGCTTTCAGAAGTATGTTTTTGCTCCCGTTAGCCGAAATATAACAACACTAGCATATAATTAGCACGTCTTTTTGTATACATCGATACACATTGATACTTACACATGCGATTCAATGCGGGTGTCATTTCCTGAAGTAAGATTTCACATTAATTGATGGAACAATGGTTTATTATATCACTAATATTTATGCACATTGGAGGAAACTGCAGGAAAATATCACTTTACCTCTCAATCTCAATAAAAACATGAATTTCATTAAATTAACACATGGTTAAACTCATGCTGTGTCCTGGGGTGGTCCCATGTCTGTAATAAATAATAATAATTTATCCAGGAAAGCACTGCTGAGTGTCAACAGTCTTCTGCAGGAGGGCCCTGTAGTGGGAAATGTTTCATTTTCATCAGCCATGAGCAGTCCACTGCTGGATGAAGGCCTTTCCAAGCCACCGCTATCTCTCATGGTCCTGGCGATGCACCAATCCCCTTAGCACCTTCACCATTCTATTTTTGTGATGGACGTGCTTTATTTTTTAAGCCACAGTTTTTTTTAGCACGTGGGATGAAAGCAAAGAAAGACCAGCACATACGAAGGGATAAGACTAAACAAATCTGCTTTGATATATCAACAACCAAATTGCTGTGTTTCCTTTTTAGCCGAGCACTCGCAGTGCTGCAGGTCGGAGTCTCACACGGACCGTGATGTCTGCACGGTCCACCGAGCCGGTCCACCAGGCCGGTGAACATTAGCACTTCACTTTTCGTGGCTGTGGCGCCGCTAGTCCCAGGGGAGGTGGCCTGTTGTTGTTGTCTTTCGCCCGCCTCTCCCGTGTCACCTCTTTGATCTCTTCGCTCCGTAACGGCGGCACTGGCGACGCACGTTTATGTGGCGTGACCGATCGGGTGTTATTACAGGGTCGGCTCTGATGGAAGCCGCGCACCTCCGCAATCTTTCTGCGCACTCCATCCCCACTCCCGCCCTCCTCCCTCTGTGTCTCTCATTAGTTCTCTCATGTGACTCACTCCTCAACGTTTGCCTCATAATATGCTCTCTGGGCCATCTCTTTGCCTCACTGCATCCGTTTCACTTCTCTGCCTCTCTCCTCCTACTCCTCCCAGGCCCCCTTCGGCTCCCCGTCTCCCTCGTCGGCTCGCTCGCCACTCTCTCTGTCCCG